AGTTACGGATCGACACCCATGGTAAGCCCCTATCTGCACACTTCCAAGGCCTTGGCATAAGGTGTGTAGTATTTGGAAATATTTCTATCTATAAGTATGCTCGAGAACGTCGCGCCCAAGTTAGAAACGGAAATCGGATTTTGAATCATCAAAGTGTGTATTTTCAACTTTTTTTTCGAGGGGGGGGGGGGCAAATAGTAAGTGTAATTGTCCTGTCTTGAAGTTTGTGAAATTGTATTTATTTCACATTTTACATAAAACAACAGTTTATATATAATGGTGTACAAGCGTATATTATATAAGAGTAGATTTCACACAAGAAAAAAAAGGGTACGAGAAAAACAAGTTCCTACCTCCTTTTGTAAAGATTAGCACTTGCCCCGAATTTTGACTTTGGGGCCTGTTGAGAAAGGGTTTATAATGTACACGCAGTACTGCATCACTTGGTTTGCGAGGGAGTGTAGTGACCGAATATTTAGAATGTTAATATTTTACATTTTAGAGCAAAAAAAGGCATTAGTGTTATATACATCAACGTCATTTCACGTCATTTAACAACATTTCTTTCTATCTTGAGAAGGTGCTCACGGAGGGGGTCGAAACGATTATTAGTACTTGAAACAAATAAACAAACAAACAAAAAGTCAGATAAGTGCATGTTGAAGCGTTGTATTTTTACAGTAATAAAATATATTCGTTATACTGCAAGAGGGGCAGAAACGATTTAGCCGTCCCCTTAATCATGTGACTGAAGGGCAACATAATGGTCCTCGCATTTAACGCCTCTGAAAGACAGGGTATATGCAACATACGCCTATCATTTCTGTTGTTGTTGTTGTTGTTGTTGTGCGTGTGTAAAAGGATCGTAGCATCCATTTTAGTACAATACGGAAAGAAGGGTGAAACTGCATTTCAGACCTGTTATAACTGAAAGCTTTACTAAACATTATTTATTGTAATTTTATAGGCGCAAGAAGTATTTCCCCATCCATTGATAAATGGAAGCACCTGCCCACTCATCCAATGCCTATTCTACACAGAATATTTACGGTGCTGAGAAACATTGCATCTTCAAACATTCGATGGAGCGTACCCACGGAGCGAGAACAATTTCATTGTGATATGCTTAAGGTTTGCGTATAGGGTTAACGTGTTAGAACACAATGAACAATTATTACAAGTGCAGGGTAAAACAAATACATACACGTTATCTTCTTTGAGGTGGTCTACGGTAGGGGTGGGTTGCAGAATCATGTTAATATCATTAACCTTTCAATCATTACCACGTGAATAATAACGATTCTGAATCGGTGTATTTTCTTATTTTTATTTTCAGCCCGCTTGATATTGATTCTTACCAACATTGGATCGACATAGTAAAGGGTATTACAGGTGAGTTTGCCACTAATTCTTAATGGTAGGTAGGATCATAAAGTGAAGACATATGAAATTTTATCTTTAAACAATTTTTAATTAATAAAAATTTCACTGTTGATACACACAGTATACACCACAAGTCGTTGATATACACCACCGTATTAGTTAAAAGAATGATTAATTAAATAAATAATGTTACTAGCCAGAATTCTATAACGCATGAATCATTATGTAGGTTGTTTAACTTTGTTTACGTATATGGTGTTTTGTGTTATATGCACTGTTATTAAATGTGTAAGTATCTAACAATAATGACACCTGCTACACAATAATGTTTCATCAGTAATGAATGGAACATGAAAGAAAACAACTATTACTCAATTTATATCAGAATGAAATTTCTACAAGCAATTTCTTTTTGTTCATCATTATTCACATATTTAAAAAACAGGGTAGCTCATTCACAATCGTGTTCAACCATAAAGCCCTGTACATAAACAGAGAGAAAGAAAGAAATTAAGGATATACATAAAAAAAAACATGGCCTATCCACATATACACAATGAAGTTAAATTTAAGAAAGTTGGGACATATATACAATAAATCAAGTATCTAATATCAGGTATCAAGTTTATTTGTCTTCCAGAAAACACATATGACAAAGTATAATCATATTACAGTACAATGTAGAATAAAGAAAGACGAGGAGACCTTGGTTGAAGCACAGCTTCTTAAGTTAAGGCCCCCTCATATTATGGTGTGACAAAGATAACTGATTCATGAATACAACAACAAATATGGAATATATACTATTCACAAAATACTCTCAGAAAACAACTACCCAACGATGCATCGACCACAGCATGGATGACCACAACAAGTATACCTGAATATGCGCACATCCCCATCACACCGGGAGAGCTAACAAACTCACCGGCCCGAATTCACAAAGGAGGTTTGTCGACAAACCTAGGTTTATATACGTCATATAACGCGTTTGGACGCGTTTTTTACAAGCCAAGGGGGTAACCTAAGTTAACTCTAAGTTGGACTTAAATATTATGGAAAGCCATTTGTAGCCTCAAAATGAATTATATTCAAAAGCAAAAATTCAAGTCATTTAGACTTTTTATAAATTCCACATCAAGAACATGAAATCTCCTTGATAATAGAAAATATGAACGATTTTAATTAACATTTCATGCCTTTTAAAATAACCTTTACAAAATATTTTCATAGATGCTAACGGCTTTCCATAATGTCCAACTTAGAGATAAGTTCAACTTAGGATCTTTGTGAAACACCCCCTTGGTTTCCAAAAACGCGTCGAAATGCGTCATATGACGCACGAAAACCTAGATTTGTCGACAAACCTCCATTGTGAAATCGGGCCACCGTGTGTGTTAAAATATATGCCATATGAGCACAAACAACCCACCCATGGGAGGGCGACCTAATATGGACAAACCCAAGACACCAAATCGAGACATCAATGAGTTAATCTGAGTGCAGAGATTAAATAGGAATATATGGTATATGTACAGATGGGAAAGAAGAAGAAAAATAAGAGGGATCAAAGGGATTATGTCAAAGTCAAGAAATAACGAAAAATAGATCGAGAGTAGAGTTAAATAATTATGCTACAGTACATGATTTGACCTTGAAATCAAGTATTTATCTAAGTTTTCTATATTATCGATATTAATTACACACTCTTAATTCTGATCACGTTGATATCGTGGACTCTTACAAGCCCCTTTTTCGTTCATTTTGTAAATTATATACTTTTTCCTTTCTTCGTAAATTGCATGTTAATACTTGGCTCTGCTTGTGTAGGCCTGTGGCCGATGTAATAACACTATTTCCCTATTAATTTGATTATCATACCATCCATTGAAATGCTTGAACAAGATTCTTTTTTTCTATTAGATTTAATATGCATGCACATATCATATCATGTCCTCAGTTGGTAACCAACCGTATAATCACGGTGATTTTACCAGATTTTGGGTTTTGAGGCCGTCGTGTTGAATCAAGTGAAACATGGATGGTGTGTATTATGTACCATTCCCCCCAAAACATCTACCCTGCTCCCGTGTTGAAATGGTTTCTCTAATCATCTGATCATGAATCTACGTGTGAGACATAAGGCCATGATCTGACAATCAACAGTGAACAATTTAAACATAACAAATATGAAACGATTATGACATTATATTTGGATGAAACATTTATTATGCATAATATAAGAAATGTTCCCTCCATTTATCTGCTTGTATACTTATAACATTTGGGGCTTAATGTCCATTTTCCTTGTACTGGATACAGCTTTCTAATTTTGAGCCGAGGCATGGGGGTGATTAAAGTTAGATACAATTATGGCAATGCTTACACTAAATACCGGCATTAGGCCCTATATTAGTCGAACCCCACATGGTCTTGATTTCATTCTTTTATTTATTAAGTAATTTTCACTAACTACCCGATCTTTAGATTTCCCAATCATATTTCAACCTTTTGTTTCAGTCGAAGTTGTAGTAGTTAAACAATATCATAACAATATCATCAGTTTATTCTATGATGATTGTCCCGACTACATTTTCTACCATAAATATTACATTCCATTTGCATTATCATAGTTTTAAATGTATTACTATCTCATTAGTCACTTCATTTAATCTTTATACCGGCTCATCTTCAGTCTCCTTCCTCTATCACCCCCCTCCCTACTTTGCTCACTCGATTTTGTCCATTCTACGTGTGAGACATAAGACCATGATCCGACAAAACAGTCAACAATTTGAACATCAAAAATATGAATCAATTATGAAATTATATTTGGATGAAACATAAATTAAGCATAACTTAGAAATATATCCTCCACTTACCTGCTTTTATACTTTAACATGTAATTTGGTGCTTAATAGCCATCTCCTTGTAGCTTTCTAATTTTGAGCCGATCGAGGCATTGGAGTGATTAAAGTTGAATATAATTATGGCAATGCTTGCACCAAATACCGGTATTATATCAATCGAACCCAACGTGGTATTGATTTCATTCATTTTTGTATTAATCAATTTACTCTAACTACTGATCTTAAGAATTCCAAAATCATGTTTCATCTTGTTTCCGTTGAAGTTGTTGTGGTTAAACAATATCATAAACAATAAAATCAGTCTATTCTATCATTATTTTCCCGACTAAATTTCCTCCCATGAACATTAAATTTCATTTGCATTATCATAGTTGTGAATGTATTACTCTCTCATTTCTCACTTCATTTACTCTTTATACCGGCTCATCTTCAGTCTCCGTCCTTTATCATCATTCTCTCTCTCTCTCTCTCTCCGCTCCCTACTTTTCTCAATCGATTTTTGCCCATTCATTCTTTTTACAACTTAAATATGGCAGGAAATGCTATGCTACTGAGATTACTGATAAAAATACACATAGATGAAGAAGCATTTCAGATTTTCTCATTACTTTGTGTCAACCACCCCCCCCCCCCCCCGGTAAAAAAAAAGACATTATGGACGTATGTGTGGTATGTAGATGTCATAAACATATCGTGACTTTAGACGAAATTTCGAGTAAACTCATTGAATATGTTTTGATTGAATAGGCCGCGTCCCTCATTGTGCTATATTTCGTTACGGAGACTTCCCTAAAGGTAGAAATGAATTGAAGCAGCTCGGGATCACTGATATGTACGAAGTAACTGACAGTGGTGGCACTCAATCATATAAGGATAAGTTGCAGTTGCTTGACCTTCTACGTGGATGCCTTTATGAAGGCGACAGAACGTTAGCAGCTAATGATCTGGAGAAGATGTGCAAGAATCCAAGATGTACGTTGTCCTATGAGAAAACCAAGAAAGAGGTGAAAGAGGCGAAAGAAGCAAATCAGAAGATGTTCACAGAGGTCCAAGAGCAAAATCAGGAATTAAAGAAAGGGAGAGAGGAAGACAGAGAAAGATCTGAGAAAGAGAAGCGCTCATTGGCAGCAGAAATGACGAAGAAACTCGAGTGTAAACAACAGCATGTAGACACTTTGACGGAAACCGTACGGGAGAAAGAACGAAATGAGACGACTCTAAGACAGCAAGTTGAGGAGTTAAAGAAAGGAAGAGAGGAAGACAGAGCAAGATCTAAAAAAGAGCAGCGCTTATTGGCAGCAGATATGACGAAGAAACTTGAGTCTAAGCAACAGCATGTAGACACTTTGACGGAAACCGTACGGGAGAAAGAACGAAATGAGACGACTCTAACACAACAAGTTGAGGAGCTAAAGAAAGGAAGAGAGGAAGACGGAGCAAGGTCTGAGAAAGAGAGACGCTCATTGGAAGGTGATATGACGAAGAAACTCGAGTCTAAGCAACATCATGTAGACACTTTGACAGAAACCGTAGGGGAGAAAGAGCGAAATGAGACGACTCTAACACAAGTCGAAGGAAGAGAGGAAGACAGAGCAAGATCTGAGAAAGAGAAGCGCTCATTGGCAGCAGATATGACGAAGAAACTTGAGTCTCAGCTACAACATGTAGACACTTTGACAGAAATCGTAGGGGAGAAAGAGCGTAATGAGACGACTCTAACACAACAAGTTGAGGAGCTAAAGAGAGGAAGAGAGGAAGACAGAGTAAAAGCTGAAAAAGTCAGAGGAAGATCTGAGGAAGCAAAGCGCTCATTGGCAGAAGAAATGAGGAAGAAACTCGATTCTAAGCAACAGCATGTAAACACTTTAACAGAAACCGTAGGGAACAAAGAGCGAAATGAGACGACGCTGACACAACAAGTTAAAGAGTTAGAGAAAGGAAGAAAGCAAGACAGAGCAAGATCTGAGAAAGAGAAGCGCTCATTGGCAGCAGATATGACGAAGAAACTCGACTCTCAGCAACAACGCGTAGACACTTTGATAGAAACCGTAAGGGAGAAAGAACGAAATGAGACGACTCTAAGACAGCAAGTTGAAGAGCTAAAGAAGGAGCATGACTATAAGGAACAGCTTTTGGAGCAACTTGAGCGTGAGACCTGGAAGCTGAGAACCAAAATTCAACTAGAAAGTGAGATACGATCTGCAGAGCAGAAGAAGAAAGCAGAGACACATCAATGGAGTTTCATTCCTTGGGTGACCTCTGGGAAACAAGCTCAGGGTGGTAAGACTTAACTTTCCAATCTCATTTTCCCTTTCCAACTCCTATTTTGATATCTACAATATGCTACATAACTCCTATTCCATCTTTGGTTACTTGTTAAAATATTGATAATGTGAAGCTTATCAAGTCTAATATGGTCCTCAATCTAAATTGATATATGTCTTGTTTGTTTTAGTTGTCATTATGCCAAAAGTAACACCATTCGATTATATTATCCAAGGACGCTAGAGCTTACATGCTTGTGCATTATTTACAAGTTAAAATAACACATAGAGATACATTGAACGATAAAGATCAGTAAAATTATTTCTCTTTTTTTTTCTTCATTCAAACTTACTTCATTCCGTCATGACAGGCACATCATCATTTGAGGATAATTCAAGCGGAGGACTGGGAAGAAGTGAAACATTACAAGCAGGGTGAGATGAAATATATTTACTCTTTAAATGACAATGAACGCAATTTTGATCTTGCAGTGACAAAACTACTATGGAATGTACTTTTGTGTGTAAAATGAGTGATGCTAGACTGTCAATAACAGTTCTAAAAGTACGGCAGCACTTATGTTCTATGAATCCAAAATCATGTTTGGAATTTCATGACCACCTGTGATTGTGTAGAAGCAGAAGTCAATCAAAGATTAAAAATCATTAACAAAAAACAATGAAAATCTAAGCTGCATTCCAGTCTATGGTGATTAGAGTTTAAAAAAAATAATCCTTTCATGAATTTATATCAATAATTTGAGCATGTTGAGTATGGTCTCATCACTGGAAGAACGTATTTTTCCCTTCCTATCTTCACCTAAGTAAAGATTTTACTTTACTTTTTCAGTGTATACGTCATACCAACGTTCTCTGACCACCCCAAGTTTGTCTTTTTTTTGTTTACCGTGTACCATTCTAGAGAGGAGCCCCCAGATGATGAGTTTGCAGGCATATTACAGCAGATAGCTGACGATCTTTACGATGAAGCCAAGATCGACAGCCTTGCTGGTCAGCTGGGAATCCTACATGGTGATATACAGAGAGCGCTCATGACCAATGTGAAGTTCAACCGAGTTACCAGTGATGGAACTCGTCACATGCTGAAACAATGGAGAGAAGGTGTGTCCAGGGAAGATGAACGGATTGTGCTAACGAAGGCGCTAAAAGCCGCCAAGTTGGTCAACCTTGCAGACCTGTATCTCAGCACAGGTAACGTATATTTTCATTAAGAACAATTGTAGTGTTGTAATAAGCACCCCATTCAACACTTCAGCATCATGCTATTATATTTGGTGTACAATACGGCCCATGTGCTTAAAAAAAGATTGGTAGTATTTTCTGAAGCAAGTTCATTTCCCAAATGTATACTGCTGATATAGAGACTAAGGTGACATAATGCAGAGAAAATAAAGAAAGAGGGAGCTTAATAGGTACTTCTTGCAGTTAGCAATTTCCTCATTATAGCTGTGCACACGAAACCCCAATACGATGCTGATTATATAGTAACGTCAAGTTCTCGCCTACTCCCTGGTTAACATAAACATAAAATAAATTTCGAATTCACTGCGATAAATTCGACACAATCATGATAATTCCGATTCGATATGCTTTGAGAGAAGAAAAAAAAAACCTTTTTTTTTTTCTTGTTGCCGGTCAGGTGTAGCAGAGGAACAGATCGATGATGAATATGCCAACGAAGACGTCAATGATCATCAGCTCTCTTATAGAGATGAGACCTCTCTAGAAGAGGACCGGACCAAAGGACACACTGACATCCAGGTACTTCAGGAAGCTACAGCGAGCAGTAACCATACTTCTCGAGATGGGCATTCCGGAGACACGGCTACCAAAACCCAGGAAGAATTGACAGATGGAAGTAAGAGTAAACATCTTGACCAATCACCGGAGCGCAGTACAGAGGACTTGGATGAATCTGAAGTGACTTCTGAAGAAGTGTCCTCTGAAGAAGTTCATCCTGGTGATGATATGAACAATGCAAGTAGCATTCAACCTTCTGAACAATCGCCACGCCATGAAATGCAAGTCCTACCTGAAGAAATGTCTGAGATAGCCCCTCTGGTATCTTCTGGTGAGAAACCCAAAGATGAATCCACCACCTTGGATTACAGCCATGTAGGTGGAATCATAAGTAACGAAGAAGATCTGATTTCTCAACTCGTTCTTATTGATACATTCCCGGAGAAAATATTGCTTCTGTTCCTCGTAAAGATAATAATGGATGTTTCCCAGAAAGCACTCAGTTTTTAAGAATCCCCAGAGAATCTTCATCAAGTCAAGTTACTTGCTTCCTCTATATAGAAAACAATGCATAATACTTTTATTATTTTAGCTTGTGACGTTTCAGGAGCCCGTTTCATAAAACTTTTTATCTATAAAAAATGCTTAATTTTATGATAAATTTGCTCTCAGCCAATCAAATGCCTTGATTTCAGTAGCTTATAAAAGTAGCGTGTAACTTGTTATTGATATCAAGTTTGCTCTCAGCCAATCAGATGCCTTGATTTCAGTAGCTTATAACAGTAGCTTGTAACTTGTTATTAATATCAAGTTTGCTCTCAGCCAATCAGATGCCTTGATTTCAGTAGCTTATAACAGTAGCTTGTAACTTGTTATTAATATCAAGTTTGCTCTCAGCCAATCAGATGCCTTGATTTCAGTAGCTTATAACAGTAGCTTGTAACTTGTTATTAATATCAAGTTTGCTCTCAGCCAATCAGATGCCTTGATTTCAGTAGCTTATAACAGTAGCTTGTAACTTGTTATTGATATCAAGTTTGCTCTCAGCCAATCAGATGCCTTGATTTCAGTAGCTTATAACAGTAGCTTGTAACTTGTTATTGATATCAAGTTTGCTCTCAGCCAATCAGATGCCATGATTTCAGTAGCTTATAACAGTAGCTTGTAACTTGTTATTGATATCAAGTTTTATGAAACAGGGTCCAGGTCCACTTCGATACCCTTCATCAGGGTGACTGGTCTTTAGCGCCAAATGATTGTTGACCCATGAACACGGTGACGTGGTCGAGGAACGTCGGCATGGTCGGCCCGATGAAGCGTCTGCGGACGTAAGACGTCGCAAGCAAAAAAAAAAGTAAATCAGTTGACTTTTTAAAAATACATTATCTACTGCCTGCATATTTGAAAAGAGTCATAAACATAACCTTCATAATCATTAACCGAACCATATTGTATCCAAACACAGCATGTATAATTTCAGCATTGTTAATTTTTGTAAATATTACACGAATTGCATGCAGAGCGGGATGTTTTTTATGTAGTTTTGATTTTTTTTTGGCAAGATATCTGGATATAGAAAATTCAATCGATTCTAGTAGTTCAAAAGTCACCTATTATAACCGGAGCAATTTTAATGTATTGTTATACTTTAATCTGTCAAAAAGATATTAGGTTTGATCAATCCTATAACATTATTTTTTAACAATTTACTATACTTAAAAAAAAATAATCTTAATTTGAAGCAGTAGAATCGAATTATGTCAATTAGAAAGATACAACACTCGTTGTTATTTTTGTATCAACCGCCATTTTAGAATAGTAGTTAAAACAAGTGTCACTTTTTATTTTAAGACCGTTTCTTGACAAGATCTCAAAAATATCTTTAACTGTTTATAATGTTTTGAATTACACAGATTATAAAAAAAAGACTTAGATGTAGGCCAATACGGTAGAACATATATTATTTGCTACGTGTTTTCCTATGATGCATTCGGTGTTCAAGATAATAATGTTCTTTGTAATGTTTGTGATTATAATTCTGATTTTATCCATATCATCTTTTCATATGTCATATATGTTATCTTATGTCATTTTTCTTAGTACCGTTATTGATATTCCGACCTTATACATATTTCAACTGAAACGGAAAATTACACAGATTACATAGGAGACTTAGATGTAGACATGGTAGATATAGGCCAATACGGTAGAACATAATTATAACCAGTTGGCTTATTAGCAGAAACTCATTGGGCTGTACATAGATGTGGTCACACACTGGGAATGCAATTATTAACTATGAAAGGAACTTCCTTAATTACTTGATATGTTAATAACATAAACGGAATAGATGAACATTTATTACTTAAGCATTCTTCTCATTACTTTCTTAGCATTTAACGTAAAACAACAATAATCGCATGTACAGTATGAAGACGTATATGCGTGCAAAATGCTATCTTGGCTTGGCTGGCATACCAAATCAAGCAACTCTTGATTTCTGTGTATCCTCGAATTGCAAATGTATGTTTTGCGCTTATGTATTTTGAATTAATTGTAGGTTGATTAGTATATATTAATTATAGTTATTGAATGTATTATTACCTAAGTACAACTTTGTAAAGCGCTTAGAAACATTTTAATAAGCGCTATAGAAATATAATGTATTATTATTATTATTATAGCACTTGGCAAATGTTAGTTGAACCTAGAAATTATATTGTATATTATAAATCATATGCAACTGTCATTACAATGGGGGGGAAATTTATGTAGATGATATTCTAAAAATGATGTAAGAAATAAAGTGACATGACTTTCGATTTCATTTTGAATATGTAAGCTTCTAATAACATGTCATTGTCTTCATCCAATATATCACTAATGTTTATTTCTCTACCAGATTGTTCATCAGCTTAATATGAGTTTACTTGGAAGATAATCATAGAGTTTGCTTTAAAACATGCTTAATAAACCATTGGTATATTCGTCTGGCATTGATATCTCTCTCGTGCGGGGAGGGTATAATTTAACCCAATGTCATCAACGGGTACAGGCATGTATTCAGCACCAGAGGGACGAGACATAGATTTTACACTCGCCTTGAACATTGGTTAGTGGCAAATTATGCAGGTTTAAAGGGGGGGGGGGGAGGTTAACATAAAGTACAATATATGTAACAGAGAGGAACATTTGCCAGAGATTTGTGTTTGTGTATTGGAAAAGCATTTAAAAAGAGGGGGGGGGATGGAGAGAGAAATGGAAAGAAAGAGAGAGAGAAAGAGAGAGAGAGTAATGAAGAGAGAACTAAAGAGGAAGAGAGAGAGAGATAGTACGGAAGAGAGAACTAAAGAGGGGTGAGAGAGAGAGAGAGAGAGAGTACGGAAGAGAGAACTAAAGAAGGAGAGGGAGAGTACGGAAGAGAAAACTAAAGAGGGGGTGTGAGAGAGAGAGAGTACGGAAGAGATAAGTAAAGAGGGGGACAGAGAGAGAAGGGGGAGGGGAGGGAGCATGCACACGTTACAACCTGCATTGTTTAGATTAAGACATTACGAAGAGTTAAATGGTAAATGCTCTCAGAAGAGCAAAAGCATAACGATCAACTTCAAAACTCTAATGTAAATTTGACAGAATTATAAATTACATGTTCACTTCTATTGTTTTATTTACTTAAAACATGAACAAATTCTGTCCTAAATTATTCTTTAATATAGGAAATGCTCCATCTATCGATGTTTACTCTCTTCAGAGTTTAAAAGTTTGACTTGCATTCCAACAAAACGAGATGTAAAACTTTGCAAATGCTTTACACAGTTTGTAGTGTTTTAGTAGACAAAACATTGATTTTGCTTGTTTTCTTTTTTTTGCGTCTCGGCCTAATTATTCAAGATAACAGCATATGTCTATGTTAATGTTTTTGGTTGTACTTTTTGGCGTTCAGTAAAATTTTACTATTTACGCCTGCATGGTCTGGTTCTTCAATACATGTAGTTGAATCAATCAAGGTAGTCGAGTCGAAAGAGTACCTAGCTCGGAAACTCTGTGCGTCTGTTCCTCGTTGGTAGACTTCTGGTCGTCCGGCCAACAACACTTGCTGCAAGCCGCCGAAGATGGCGTTATAAATGAACTCTTACGCTCAGCTTAATCTTGCCGGTTCCGGTTCTTATAATTTAACTCTATAATATCAGCCAGTTGACGGTTGCAGTCTGAGCATGAGCAGATAAAGGTCATTGCAGAACAAATGGGGCCTGTCACCACGAAATGAGTCCAGTTGGTCAAAAATGTTATTCCTGATTTTAAGTATTATATGAATCTACATTAAGTAAGCTTTAAATTAAGGGGTCACACATTAAAATTGATAAATTATATCCAGAAATATGAACAAAAACCTAATTGGACTTTATAACAATGGGATTACCCAGTTTTGAGATAATTAGGTGTAAAGTTAATGATGCGTAACATATTATAATCTGGTCAACAACAACATAGCAACAACACACTTCCCATCATTCGATTTCAATGAAACTTTCAACAAACAAAGAAATAATAAGTCGATTTTTGGAAAAATCTTAAATGTGGTAGGTGGGTCAATTTTCAGTACATACACACTATACATCGCTATTACTACGATTGAGCCTAATGCGACACTGGACTCATTTCGTGGTGACTGGCCCCAAATTGTGAAATACACGGAGACCAAATACTTGATACGTGCTCATGACAGTCATGTAATCATTATTCATTCATGCACAAGCAGTGGCACTTCATTATACACAGGTGGAAGTATTATTTGAAAAGGGGGAACAAAGGCTATCTATGTACCACCTCCATCGCTGTAGGAGTGATTATTTAAAAATGTACAAAGCGGGACCTTTTCATGTGTTGTAAACGAGTGGATATTCGGGGTCATTGCAGCCATGTGCTAACCGTGAACTGGACTATTCCGGTCACTTGCTGCAAGCCGCCGAAGATGGCGTTATCAACGAACTCGTACACCCAGCCCACCCTGAAATTAAGTTAGTTTTAATAGGAGTAGAAAAATGAGAGAAACAAGTCAGTGAAAGTTTGAGCAAATTCCGATTAAAAATAAGGAAGTTAGGATTTTTTAAGTTGTGATCAATCAAACACAAATTGGCAACTCTATGACGTAAAATGCGAGCTCAACTTCCATTTGCTCAGTACTAAAAAAATCTAAAATTTTCATTTTCCCTCAAGAAAAATTTCAACCATACATGCACCCTAAATATAATAATTGCAAATATGTTTCTATACTCCCCCTGCAAGGAACAAATATATATTCCGTCATCAATAACGAAGAAAACATGATTTTATGGAATATTATGCACAAAGCAAACGAAGGAGAGCTCGTATAATACGTCACAGAGTTGCCAATTTGTATTTGATTGATCACAACTTCAATAATTCATAACTTTCTTATTTTCATTCAGAATTTGCTCAAACTTTCACTCACCTGATTTTCTTATTATTCTGCCTCTATCGAAAAAAAACTTATTTTTGGGGTGGACTTTCCCTTTAATCATGTCGGTTCTTAAATGTTATCTCTATAATATTCCCTCCATCTTCGAACTCATACGCCGACACACTTCATATACCCAACATTTAATACCCGAGATCGAAATTTAGTATATATATC